CACACACACACACGCACGCACACACACACACACACACACACACACACACACACACACACACACACACACACACACACACACACACACATGGCCACATGTATAAACACCTTTTTCCCGCTGTCTGTCTTTGCGTTTGTCTTTTACTTTCTTTTGGGAATAAGAGGCATGGGGATGAGCGTGTGTGAGTCCTATATGTATCTCTTTTGACTTGCCGTGGAAAAGGAACCGGACTGTGTTCCCCAGAATGGAAAAGGAGCCAGAACCGTAAGGTTCTGTTTCTCTCAAAAAAAAAGAGGGATAGGGATGATCAGGAGTGATCATCTCTTTTTTTTTTTTTTTTTTTTTTTTCCCCAGGAGGTAATGAGTGAAGGTGTGGATGGAGTGGCCGGAACTCAGCTGTTATTTGTGCCTGGTCTCGATTGCATCCATTCACTCTCCTGTTGGTGAGGCCGAGATCCACGAGGCATTGAATGTTTTGGATTCTTGCGGGGGATCGCGCATGGTGATGTGTGTTTCACTCTGTTCATTGGTCTAAATGACTTCAAAACTCTCTCTGAATACTACATCAAGGACCCGAAATGGAATATATAGTCCTGACAACAGCACAACTGATCGCCGATTCGCCATTGCCAATGCTCTTTCCATGTCAGTTTGCCGGCTGTGAAGGTCATTTCCAAGCTCACTCTGGGATCGTGTTCTACATGTGCTACTGGAGGGGGGAGTGAAATGTTGATGAAATCCTCCTACGGTTCTCACCACCCGAATAGAATGCCCAGTCATTATACGTGTATTTGGTCCAACTTGCAGACCATATACAACGATAGTGACCGGGCGATAATGACCAGGCATTCTATATGGGTGAAGACGGTCGTGATAATCTTCCAGGCAACAGACAGGTATCAAGTTTGACAAATCGTTGCTCCCAGTGCTCATCTTCCAGGCAGGCAACTGACATCTATGGCGATCTGTTTGTGGTGTTGAGAACGAAATTGAACAAATGCGAAATTTTTTGCAAGCAAAAACGCGCAGAGAGAAATGTGGCTCACCAAGAACGGAGCCTTTGAATTGTCCATTGCACAACAAAGCCACGACTTCAGAGCGAGGGCTGGAGCCCTTTTGTGAAATAGTGTCATATAATGGTATTGTGCAATCAGACTCACTCTCATCCACACTTCGCATGCATGCAAACAGGAGTGCAGCGCGACTGCGAACTGGTGAATACCGTTTCAATTGGCATGGCGTGGCAAAGTCTATTAAAACCACCAGTATTTCTGAGGCACGTTTCTCCGGTGCTGGAAACGCCCTGCGCGCCAGCCGAGCTTTGTCGAACTGCCAGTGGGACTCTTTTTTTTTCCCGTTTGCCCGGTGCCGCCAGCCATTGTGGTCCTAATAGGCCCGAAGCCCGCTTAACGTGGCACGTATTCGTCAAGGGGGCCGCCGCCAGCCATTCTGGTCCAGTAGGGGCCCGAAGTGCGCTTAACGTGGCACGTATACGACAAGGGGGCCGCCACCAGCCATTGCGGCACAGCAGGCATCAAGCCCTCGTAAACCACCTAGTACACGGCGGCCCCAGCCTTGCAGTCCGAAACTTGTCGCCACAAGAAAACGAGGCCAAAACGTCAAACGCTGGGCTGCCGTTGATAAATTGGATCGGCGGTCACGTTTTCGTTTCGCGCTTCCAGAATACGAGGTGTCAGGCCAGCGGCTCAGGTGCCCATGTACTGGTGCTTTAACTCGGCACATATATGACAAGGGCCCGCGACCAATGTACGGGCCAAGCACTGGCGGTTTAGTGCGATCTTCATTGACTGAGGTAGAGCACTCGATGGGCTAGGGTGGCCTAAAGGTTAACCAACCCCAATTTCCGAGTACTTTGCAACTGAGCATCACGCAGACAGACTTTGGGTGCTAACATCAATCTGTAAACAACAGGTGGTGTCTGTACCAAGGGCCGCCAATGACCCCTCTTAGTACACTGCCAGTGCCAGGGGGCAAAAGGAGATTTGGCACTCTCTTCAGCGGTGATGCGTTTTTTCAGCTCATTGTATTGCGCTGGGCAAGAGTGATAGCAAGAGCGAACACCAGTAATGCAGCTTTGACTCAGCTGCAGTTAGATAGGTTCGCCCCTGATGACGCCCGGGCACTTTGGCCGTACGGAATTCGGAGCAGACGTCTTCCGTTCGTTTATGATGCATGGGCGTCGTGTTCAAAGGAAGAAGACATTTCTGTATGAAATTCCAAGTGTACTCGTATATTGTGTTTGGATTTTGTTCTTCCGAAAACAAGTAAGGAAAGGCTATTGTCAGTTGATCTTTTTGGGTTGCAGTCTGTCATGATAAGCTCTGAGTGAGTGGTATCATCAACCCACAGCTGCAGCTGAACATCCAGGCATTGCCATAGGTGCAGGTCTGACTGCAGAGAATCTTCGTCACGATCAAACTGCTAAGAAGCGGATATGTCACAAACTGGAAAGGTGGACCTCAGGATGTGTCCGTTACTTGGTGGGGATTTGGAGGAGTGGCAATCTTAAGTTGGCGATAAATATCACGATGTCAAGATCGCACCTGCGGGGAGATCTGGAACGTGGCGCTGCTGGTTTTTTACCAGGATTGTATGTGCGTTTCCCAAGGGGAAAAAAGAATGCGCTTGCAGTTCTGGTATATTGCATCCGCGTTTCAAAAACGCTACACAAAGAGCTTGGGCCTACTGGTGTGTAACGGCCAGAAAATTCCATATACGTTTCGGGAGCCAAAAAAGCTGCCTGTGCAATAACAATTCTGGTATGTCTTTTGAAAAAAGAAACGCCCAAGCAAGCATCATTTCCATCCCCACTTGCCCCGTCCTCCCCCCCCCCCCCCCCTCTCCTCCTTTTGCCCCACCCTGGCGACACTTTTGCCTTCCCAAACTGGCGTTGCGTGTGGGCCTTGACGACTATTCCTTCCCCACGTTCCTCCCGCCGAACACGCGAGTGAACACCTCGATGACCATCTCCAATTGCCCCCCTCCCTACCCCCCTCGTTCGCCTCCCCCTTGAACTTCTGCGCACTTTTTTTTTTTTTTTTTTTTTTTAAACCGCCGTCTGGGTAGTGCTAGCGATGTTGGTGTCGCAGACACCGGTAGCAGACCCAGGAAGGCTCCATCTATTGGTGGGGAGCAGCACCTGCTGGGGACTTATCTGTCTTTTGCACAGAGCTGTGCGTCGTCATATGCTAATCGATCAAAGGATTTCGACTTCCTATCCTGCCGTGATTCGATCCGGGTCCCGTTGCTGTCGTTGTTACCTGCTGTGGTGTATCGTATGCCTGAATGTTGCTGCTGAAGTTTGAACAGGGAACCTTGATGTTGACTTACCTGTGTGCCTACCTGTTGCTATGCCGTGTGTTTGTCAGCGTTGACTGAGCCTGTGGAGTCTTGAACCTGAGACCTGTTCTTGTGTGTGCCTAAAAAAGTCAATGCTTGGTACAATTCATGCGGTGAGTGCGCCGGGTAATGCCCCCGGTAGCAAACATGCATGTATATGCATCGGACGCTACACCCAGTTTCCAACAGGCAAAGCTCCCCAGCAATAGATTGGACCAACCGCAGGCAACTGAGGCAGGGGGTCGCTAGGGAGGGCTGCTCATATCAACCCCMACCCCCCCCCCCCCCTCCCCCCCGCCCTTGCCTCCAGCAAGTGTCTAGAGGGTTCCAGGGGCAAATGGGGTGAAGCAGGCCCGGGAAACGGAACTACAGAATTTGTTTTGCAGATTCACTCGTGGCGGTGCTGGTTCGTGAAATCGAGCAGTGCGCTGTGCGGTGAGGATTCTGAGGAAGACGTCCATGGCTATGTTGTAGCTGTTCTTTCTGTTCCTTTTTGGAGTGGAATTATGCTGCTGTGTCTGACGCTCGTTGGAGAGAGTTTTTGCTTGGTGGAGAGGGAGCCATCAAGACGGAGCGTCACTTTGATATGCCGGGAGTCGGGAGAGATCCTGTGTGTAGGAGAGAGGAGGAGGCATATGCTTGTTCTAGTAGTAGAGATTGTGGCGCACATGAAGACTGCGTTGAACTCTGATCTGCATATTTTTTTGGAGCTGCGAG